GACGAATTTGAAATGTTGTTAAAAATGGTTTCACAGCTTCCCAGCTTGTCCGCTTGAAATAAGGTCTTCAGACAAATGTTGGCCATCTTGTAGATGCCCACCTTCTTTCCATCGGGCCTGCCGTCTTTTATACCACCTGGCACGGTGTTGCGGTCGTTTAAGCAGATGATGAAGGCTTGTCGTACAATGTTGGCAGCCTTCTCGGGTAATGATTCTCTCTGGCCATCTTCGTCCACATCAGTTAGAAGCTGTTGCGCCAAGCTAGGGTTGTTATCCAGGCCTATTGCAACGCGTGCAAAAACCTTAGCATAGTACATGATTGTGGGAAGCATCATGATACCCTTGGTAGGATGCTGTAATGCGCTATTGGCACGTCTAATATTGCTATCAATACCTCTGTCTCTTGGACGTAGTATATAGTGGTCAAACTTACGGTTGAAGATCTGTCATCATCTCGAATACCATAACGAGATTATTGGCGTCGACATCTCTAAGAAAGGTCATCCATCCAACAAGAAATGTGACGAGCGATCCCCAAGATTGCACCGGTCTTCCCTCTTCATCCTCAGACTCTGCCGTCTCAGTCACCACACGTCTGACCAGATCCTCGAGACGTTTTTCAGAGCCCGGATTTGAAGCCGGGTAATTTTGCTTCAATGAGTTTATAAGCTCTTGATGATCCGGGGGCCAGCGGTTGGCCTCAAGCGGCTCCAGGAGCACGATTGACTGTAACTGATTGGCATCGCCTGCTCGTATAGCGACGTTGACGGCTGTGCACAGACGCGTTTCGACGTCATTCTGATTTTGAAAGAATGGCATGGCTGCAAGAACCCCCGTGGACGGTTGGGGGTGGAGTCAAACTAAACGGGAGAGCTGTGGCTAAGGATATTCAACAATGCACTAAGCTATATACATACTAGAGGGTGGCCCGAGCTTCTTCGGTAAGCATCCGTATATCCCTGCCGTCGATCATTGAAAGGAACATGTCCTTTCCCCCTTTCCGAGAAGTTCGTTGACGATTTCTAGATTTGATCTCAGATCTGTCAAAGATTGCTCACCTAATGGCGTTATGTCAGCAACTCGCTGTCGGGATCTTCCTCGTTTAAGCTGAGCAACGTGACGTGCATGCCTGACAGTCAACTTGGTATCTTTCACATGTCAGACCCACCACCATGACATCACCGAGCGTAATGGGCAAAACAACCATGTTGAAGCTACACGTTTCCCGCGGATGCCCGGCACTAGTAAGTAGCATGTTACAGTACTCTTGTGGTACTTAACCTTTGCAAGGCGCGTCCTTTGTCACTCCCTCTTGTCAATCTATTCCATTGATATAGCCGATCCGCTCACAATGGGGTACATTATCGACTATGTTTGGTACTTTGTTACACATCCTATTCTCTTCATTTACCAGGTGGTTCAATACGTGCTTGACTTGCTCCTTTCACCTACACCTCCTCCACCCCATTCAAATCTCGCCCGCCCAAAGATTGCCATCATAGGCGCTGGTCTCACTGGTGTATCGGCTGCTTCGCACATCGTCGGCCATGGCTTTGATTGCCGTATCTTCGAGGCTGGACCAAAAGAGAACCTAGGTGGGATCTGGAGCCGAGTGAACAACACTTCTGGCCTGCAAATCCACTCGGTCATGTATCGCTTCCACCCCTCGGTGCACTGGAAGAAGGGATATCCGGATCGGCAGCAGATTGTGTCGCAGATTACACAGCTATGGAAGAGATATGGATTGGAGAGCAAAACGGAATTCAACACAAAGGTGGAGAAGGTCTACAAGGATCCGCATGGGCGATGGATTATTAACGACCCGAGCTACGGACGATTTGATGGAGTTATTGCAGCCATCGGAACATGTGGTGACCCAAAGATGCCGAGGCTGCCTGGCCAGGAGAATTTCAAGGGAAAGATATGGCATAGCTCGAATCTAGACGGCAAGGTGGCCAAAGGGAAGAAGGTGGCCATTATTGGTGGCGGTGCATCTGCTGTGGAGGCATTGGAGTTTGTTGCAAACGAAGAGGCAGAACATGCATATGTCCTTTCACGCAGTGAGAAGTGGATCATCCCGCGGAATCCATTCATTGACGCTCTTCTAGCCCTTAATATTTTTGGCTCGGAGACAATATTTTCCTGGGTTCCAGAATACATTCTAAGGCTGTTCTTCTACCGCGACCTGTACGATATCTCGCCGGCGCCCAATAGTGGAAAGGGACTCTTCACCGAGACACCAATGGTCAACGATCAGGTCCTCGATCTCGTTCGCTCAGGCAAAGCTTCCTGGCTGCGGGGCGACATCATGGGTTATGATGAGTCTGGTCGGGGTATCAAGTTCAACAAACGTGCCCAAGGGGTGCCCAAGAATGGACCCGGTTCAGAGAAACTAATCGAAGCGGACATTGTCATCATGGCCACGGGATACAAACGACCAAGCTTGAGCTTCCTGCCAGAGGAAGTCTTCAACGAGCCTTATGATCCACCGAACTGGTACCTCCAGGTTTTCCCGCCAGAAGACCCTTCGATTTGCGCAAACAATTGCACATATGTCAATGCAATTGGTACAGTCGGAAATTATCACATTGGCATTTACACACGCTTCCTGCTCATGTATCTGGTGGACCCGCTGGCACAGCCCAGGACGTGGTGGATGAAGCGGTGGATAGACATGACGCGGTTCATCAAGAGCAAGGCTCCAGGAGGAGCGTTTGATTTCTTCACATACTCTGAGCTGATTTACTGGTTTGTCTTTACGATTGTCATCAATCCATTCCGGTGGAAGTGGGCGGCTTTTGTATTGTGCGGAGTTGGCAAAGGACTGCCACTGAGCGTGGTTGAGCAGGAGAATCGAGCAAGAAACGGACTGGGCATGGCACATGTTGCTGGCATTCACAGCAACGGATATCAGACGGAATAGCGGAGTCCCGGATAATGAGAAATGGTTAGCTTGTCGCACCATGTATAGGGAATGCTCAAGATGGATGTAGACTTTCAGCTCTTTGTTGCTGATTTTGAATGATGTCTCCGTGGAACTGTGGAGAATGTTGCGCTGCAGTTGATCTTGACCATCATGGCCTTCCTTTTTGGACGAGGAAGAAGGAAACACACTGCCACGTAGGTAAAAGCTGATGAAGCAGGCAGTATTTTGGGGACTACATGGGAACGCGAGAGTGGGATCAGCTCGAAGTGGTGTGCGGCAATGGGGATTTGGACAGCTTAAATGCTTGTTCGAGGTGCAAATTACGTGTTCAGTGGTCAGGAGAAGACGGTGAGCGTATCGATATGGCAGATTGCATGGTCGGTGCCCCGGTGAAAAACTTCGCTCTCCTTTTTTGTGCGTATGGCACGCACCACGCAGAGGACAAAAAGGTCGGCCCCTTTTTCCTTATTCTGAGTATAAGCTTGAGAGTGGTGGGGTTCGTCGGAAAGTTGTGCGGAGCCGGGTACACAATGAGGCACGTCTTACCCAGTGCATCTCCATGGCAACGCGATGGCAACGCGTAAACATGAATCAGAAACTGGGCTGAGGCCATGGGATGGAAACGCATGCAAATGATGATAAAATTGACACTGTTTGAGGATGTTAAATGTTCCTCAGGAAGCGATCTGCCGCTGTCGCAGCTCAAACAGGCGGACAGGACCTTGGGTTGGCCGGAGGATATCCCCCCGCATGTAGCAGCCTCTACAGGCGCGTCACAGCGTCACAGCGTCCCGTCGTCTCAGATAGCGACCTGCCGAGCGCGAGGCCGCACACGATCCGCATGCACAAGTGAAACTCGTGTTCCCTGGGGGTATAATATTGATAGAGGCGAATCCTTTAGTGGGCCGGATGCGGCTGCGATGCGCAGCAGCCAGCTGGCGGTGCAACAAAGGATTATCCGGTGTGTGGGAGGGTGTGCTGACTCTTTAAGTTCTTCGAGGCGAACCCATCAAGGGAAAGCAGAAGGGAGAGAAGGGGCTTTTTGTTTTCGGGGTGAGTGACCACGCGGGGCCGGGCTGGCTCTAGTAGTAGTAGTAGTAGTAGTGCAGGCAGTCGGGAGGGGAGAATTTTTTTTTACACTTTGGCATGCATTCTCCTCTTTTCAATCTCCACCAAACAGAGCAAGTACGTACGTAAGTAAGTTGCATTGTTTCAGTTTGCAGCAAAGTCAGATCGGAAGCGTGCGGCCAGGTGCTGCTCTCGTGACAAAGAGGATGAGGGCTAGCCTGCTGTCACGGTGCAGATTTTCAGGGTCTCGAAACGCACAATAGACCAGAGACGGTAACGCGGGCGGGTCCCGCGGTCTGGGGTATATGACGGACCCTGTGTGGTGAGACTGGCGCGGTGGTGTGTGTGTGTGTGTGTGCATGTGTGGCTGTTGGGATTGGGCGGGCGCGGTCATGTGACAGCGTGCGCGGGATTGTTTGTGTACGGCAGGCGCGGACGCGTCGCACCTGGCGACGAGGCTTTTTTGTTTGCATGGCGCGCGCTGGGGACCCACAAAAGGAGGGGTCAGCCCGTTGGCGGGGGCGCATGCAGGCTGCGCTTATGAAAGAGTTTGTGCACTCGCCGCTGGACCATTGCGGCCCTCGTTGCAAACCGCCGCTGTTCTCGAACAGCGACTCAGCTCGCCTCCAGGCGCTGCACGACGGCGCCCCGGCCACGCCGAGTAATTGCCTGCTGACGTCGTTGGCCGGGCAGCATGGCGTCGACACACCAACAGGTACTCGCCCGTTGCTCAAGAGACGAGGGAACGTTGGCTGCGGCGTGACAGGCGCCGAACAGGTTTGCCTACCTACCCACCTACCCACCTACCTACCTACCTACTTAGCCCACCAGGTCCATTCACGGCAAGTCGGCGGGCGTGGCCTCAGCCTTATTGCGTATGACGTTTGAGCGTGTCGCCATCGAGATCTCGTTGCAGCAGCCTCGATCGCAGGCACGCCACTAGGAGGGTAGTGTGTTGGGGCGAGGCCAGGCCGGTGCAATTGCTTGGGGAGGGCCGAGGACATGGATGGGCCCGACAAGGCGATCCGAGCGTGAACGAGCCATGCAGTGGCCAGTCGCCGCATCCACGGCGCCTGTGGGCAGAGAGCGTGGGCGTGCGACGTCGCTCTCGCTGCACCGAAAGAAGCATGGAAATCTCCCGCTCGCCCAATGGGTGCGCCTCGCTGCTCCATGGCCAATGGGCGGCCCGCAGGTGAGCAGGATGACATGGAGGCCAGCGTCGCCATGGCAGATTCCCTGGCAGAGGGCGTGCCAGACGTGTGCCGTTCCCTGGCCGATGACGAAAGAATACGTAGTCGGTGGCCGCAATGGGCCTGCCTGTGCTATGCGCTTCTAATAGCACTATTGCAACAAACTGCTGCTCCAACTGGGAATGCCTACTAGCAATCCACTACAGGCTGCCGTCGGCCGGTTCACGCGTCTTGGGCCACGGCGGTTGCTGGCCTGTTCGGTTTCCGCACGCACATGCAAGGCCATGCAGCGGGCAGCTAGCCGCAGTCGCCCATGTTTGGTACCGAGTGGGCTGGTTTCCCTTGGAGACGGTCTCCATGGTACGCATACGGCTGCACGCTACACGCACCACGCTGAACCACTCCGAGGCCACCCTCTCGTCTCGGCGGCGCGAGTCTGAGTAAGGCAGTAGTAGTGGTGGATGTACTATCAGGCGGGGGGGCGCACGCAAACTCATCGTTTCACCCCTCCACCTGCTGCGCTACAGGGAGCACCCATCCGCCATGGGTCTGAGCCGCGTCGAGCTAGGCGGTTGCTTCTCTGGCAACGCGCTGCACACACACACGCACACACGGCGACATGGACCGGCCTGGTGCAGCCATCCAAGTACTATGGACAGTAGAACAGACTTGAAGCAGCAGCCGTCAGACGCACACGGTGCCGTGGTAGAGCGGCCTGCCAGTTGCCGGGCGGAGTGATGCACATACGCATGTACATAGACACACACACAACGTAGACTACACAGAACAAGGCAGACATGCCAGGTGTGTACACAGACGCTCTGCAAACACTGGTTTACCCGTCTGCAGTGGGCGTCATCAAGCTGCAGCCCAGCTGCACGCAAGCAGCCGAGCATGCCATCGCGATCAAATCAGCAGCCGGTGTACCTGCGGCGGCATTAGAGGCAGCGGATCATCGCAGCGCAGCTTGGACGTGCTGCATAGCCGGAACGAACAAACTCCACTACCCAGTCCTCTTTGTCCCGTGCTGGTGCTGGGCAGTGAGGCCTCCGGTGTGTGCAAGCGCCTAGCTTAGCAGCCCATGCCCTGGTCGTCCGCCCTAACCTTCTCAGCGGGCTACCCCAGCAACCATGGCATCCTCAAAGCCAGCTGCGTGACGGACCCGCCGTCCTTCCTCTCTACCCTTCTCTCCCCCAAGAAGGCCCAATCCCCCGACTTAACTTGGCCCACTCGCCTTGTCGACGACGGTTCGCTTTTGCTTGGATCTCCCACATCCATTATAGGCAGTCGCTACCTCCTTCACCTCCTCCCATCGCGCCTGCAGCCTCATGTCCGGAGCCCGCCTGTAGCACCCAATTCGACCACGCCCGCTACCTACCTAACCCACCACTACCACCACCAACAACCGACGACACCAGCCCCCGATCCATATCCCACTGCCCCAGCATCTTCAGATTGGAATTAGCTTTTCTGTCTTGTATGCCTTATCGCCCTCACCCCAATCAGCCCGCTCTCTCGCCAGCCCGACGCCGACACCGACGCTCGTTTCCGCCTGTTGCCCGGTACGACGAATAGCCCACCCTCACCTTCACCACCATGGAGATGTCTTCGCCTCTTGCCGCCATGCACCCGCCCCCAATTCCCGGTCCCTGGGGTTATCGCCGTGACCTGCCTCAATCCAAGCCACTCTTCGGAGGTGCACACAACCTTGGCCCCAAGAACTTCAATTTCCGCGATCTCAGCATGAAGAAGGCCAGTGGAGACTACTTTGCCCTCCAGCCTCGCATCGGCTCCTCGCCTACCGCCAGTCTGGCTGCCGACATGTCGAGCAACCTGCACGTTGACCAGAGGTAAAACTACGCTTGGTTTCAAACACCTTCCGCTTTCGGTGCTAATGCCCTTTGTTACAGCCCTCAGCTCGCCACGCCCCGTCGGTCGCTCTTCACGTCCAATCTCTTTCAGCAGTTGGACACAAGGGGTAAGTGGCTGTGCTACCTGACAATGCGAGGGAGGTGCACATTCTAACAAGGCTCTTGTAGAAAACCTGACCCCAATTGCCCGATGGGAAGGTGTCACCACTCCACCAATTCCTTCTTCGTCACCCGGCTTCGCTCCAGACTCCATGGACATCTCGCCTCTTCCCCACAAGGCCCCCTTTAGCTTCGTCAACGACCGCTCTCTGCCGCTTCCCTCGCCCTCACCCGAGACCACTCCCGGCACCGACAGTGACATGTTGTCGTCGTGTAGCGACCTGCCTACGCCTCCCACGTACTCGACGACAAACCTCGAGGTTCCACGCCCAGTGTCTGCTGCTGAGTGAGTATTCTTCGCCATATATTGCCCCCTTCAACATCCAACTAACGCAACCTAGCCGCCGCAAGTCTGCCCTGCTTAGGCCCTCTCTGATGCGCTCCAAGAATAACTCTTCCAACTCTGTTTCTTTCAAGGATGATGAAAAGTCCGATGAGAACTCGGTGCCTCCGCCTCCGCCTTTCCAGTTTGGGTGTGGTGACTTCAGCCGCACCTCGTCTTCACTAACCCTAGACGAGTGCTTCGCCGCCTCGCCTCCACAAGAGCGCAGCAGGCCCACGTCCAATGGATCCCTATTCGGCTCTTCTAGGCCCAAGCCCTACCGTCTCAACTCTACTGCTACCTCTAGTTCAAATGGATCGCCCCTTGCCGCCATCCGGAAACCTGCTGGCCCCCCATCGCGTCGGCCAAGCAAATTCCGACGTTCTTTGAGCATGTTCGAGAGCCCCGTAGATGTGATGAATGCCAAACAGGAGCAGGAGAACTATCAGCCCAGCGGTCTTCAGTCTGTAATGGATGTTGATGATGTCCACCCACTCAAACTTCCTCATTTCACTACTAGCGAACCAGAGAGCCTTCCTCGCATCACCCGTGAGACCTTGATTGACGTGCTCGATGGTGTTTACGACCACCTGTATGACAACAAGGTGGTTATTGACTGCCGTTTCGAGTATGAATACAACGGTGGGCACATTGAAGGTGCTTTGAACTTTTGTGACAAGGAGAAGCTTGCCGAGCGTCTCTTCCAGGCCCCTTCTAGTGAGAACACTCTCTTGGTGCTCCATTGCGAGTACTCGGCACATCGTGCCCCTCTCATGTAAGTCAATTGGCTCGGCCACGATCAATTTCACCAACTAATAGCAACAGGGCCAAGTTTGTTCGCTCGCAAGACCGTAAAGAGAACGCTCACCAGTATCCCTTCCTCTCCTTTCCCGAAGTCTACATCCTCGATGGTGGCTACAGTTCCTTCTTCCATGCTCACGCTACCCGATGCTATCCTCAAAACTACCTCCGTATGGACGCCAAAGAGCACGAACAATCGTGCGAGCGCGGCCTTAACAAACTCAAGTTCAAGTCGCGTGCTAAGCTCAATCGTGCCACTACCTTTACCTTTGGGCAACCCTGCCAAATGGAAGACAGCCCTACAACCATGAGCCGGTCAAGAAGCGGAAACAATATCTTCTGCCTTGGCAGCGACTCACTGGACGGCGCTCGGGCGAGTACCCGTCGCCTTGCCTCTTACTAAACCCATACCCAGGCCTCTGGCCGAAATTACGATACCAAACTAACTTGACGGCGGATCGATTCATGGCGTTTATCAATACTTGCTGCATCGGCATTGGATCCCCACAGCATTGGCGTTTAACTTTTTCTCTTCTTGTTCTTTATTTCGATTACACCGGGGCGTTCAAGCGATTTCCTTTGTTCTGCATGGTCCTCGAATATCTTTGTCAGAGGAAAACAGTCTGCATCTGATCTCTGGGGCAGTCCTGACCCCGTTTTCGTTTCTATACCCCATGTCGCGGAGCCAAGGGCCCGGGCATACGTTACCATTTCTTAAGTGGGATGGCTGGATACCCACCACGTTTACGGCGACCGCTGTGCAGGTTGATCCAGTCTGCCCGCAAGCACCCTAATTTCCTTTGTCACTATGTACATCCTCAACCGGATTTTTCCTTTTTTTTTCTCCTTTGCAATGGCAGAGCTGGAAGATGCTCTTGCCCGTGTTCACTTGAACCAAAATCTAAGAATCATCACGAAGCCACATACACAGAGTCTGGGTTTACGTGCCTGTACAAACGCTCATTACCAGGACATTATAATCCATCTCATTAATCATTCACATTCACGCTTGCCTTGGTGCTCTTGTTGGTGCTTGGAAGAATGATGTCGTTGTCGCTGTCTTTGTTTTGTCGGCCACGGTGCTTTGTTTGACGTTTGTTCTTTGTGTCTGTGATGCACTTGTTCATTTGTTTAGATTTGTCCCCTTACAAGTCGGTGTGTTTGTGCTAGACACATGTGGAGATTGAGATGATGTACTTGGCGGGCTACAGAATGACAAAGAAGCCAAGGGTAGTAGGAGCGGGTTAGACTCGCAAGACAAACAAAAAGAATACCCCTCATGTCTCTCGCATTGTTTGTTGTCACTGGTCGGTACCCGAGTCAGATGCATTGTTGTTGATTTGGCCGGACAGACGCCTTGAGCTATGCCCGATAGATCTGTTGAGCCGGAAAGGCGGGCTACTTGTGCCTCAGATGGATGAGTGGCATTGCCCGGAAGAGTCCTAGAGACCCAGCCGTGCAGTCGCGTGAGGTCCCAACGCGTTTGGCGCTAGCACTGCCAGCCCCGCTCTCCCCAAACATGGCTTCCCCACCAAACCTGCGCACATCGACGTTACGCTGCATCCTGCACGCCAGCCCGTGTCTTGCCTGCACCGATGCACCCCATCGCCCAAGTCTCCCAAATCGCACGTCTCAAGCAACTCGATATATCCGATATCCGCTTTGGGGCGAGTGGATACGTTGTCGGTTTACTCTTGTTTGCGCGCCATCTATTTTTGCTTTTGCCCCACCTCAGCTGGGAGAGGGGAGCTAAGCTCCGAGCTCCGAGCACTTGCTGATCTCACAAAGCACGCACACAGTTCAACGCGTACTATAGTACATTACATACTCTACCTGCCACATGCGGCACAATACCTTGGCTGCATAGACGAGACTGTGCTGTTGTTTTTTTTTTTTAGTGTTGACGGCCAATCTTCTTGTCTTTTGCATGTGCAATTCGAGACAAGAGCAGTAAAAAAAGAGCAGCAATGGATATCGACGACCTGCTGGCCGAGGTCGCCGTCGACTCGACGCCACAGGAATCGCGCGACTTACAGGAGCTGACACGCTGCTGGGTTGCCGAGAGAGTGGCGCCCGAGATTCTGCCGTGGCCGACAGATCTCATGGCAAGAGTGCTAGAGCGCATCGCGAGACAGGTGAGTTCTGCGTGCGGGGGCCACCTTCGAACCGTTGGGGGGATTCAACGGTCCTGGGCACAAAGCAATAATGATTGTCTGAGCTTTCTCGTGGGCCGTTAGAATCAAACATACATTCACATTACATCGGGATCAAGAGGGCTAATGACGCAGCCAGATTGAACTTGTCGAAGACCAAACAGGGAATATGGACCCGAAGACGAACTTCACTCTCATCATCATACAGACTGAACTGGAGCGATTCAAGTTTCTTGTCCGGAGTTTTTTGAGGGCAAGGATAAAAAAGGTGCGTAGCAGGATTCTCTACCATTCCCATTGAGCCATCGCTCGGACGACACATAGTAGATGTCTATATACTAATCTTAAACAATCAACAAACAGATCGACGCCCACCCCCTCCACATCTCCTCCCAACATACGTCCTCTCTCGATACCCCAACCCCACTCCTCTCCCCCGCAGAACACCAATACCTCACATCCCACCAAGCTCTGCTCGCTGCCCACTACGCCTCGTCCTTCCTATCCCAGTTTCCAGCCTCGCTACAGCGTCTCGATGATACCACTGGTGGCATTAGCATGGTAGATAAGCCCGACGAGGACAAAGCCGTGTTTGTGCGTGCGTTGAGGGACGTGGGTGAGATTTTTGTCGAGGGCACGGATCGTAGGTTCGAAATGAAGAGGGGCGATGTATGGGTTGTACGGTGGAGTGCGGTTCGGCAGTGGTGTGTTGGGTGTGGGACAGGGGATGTGGAATTGATTTGAGGGTCTGATGCAATATTTTGCTTTTTTAAAAATACAAAGCATGTATATATACTTTTGGGCATGTTCACGGCGTACATGAAGAGAAACGATTCAAAAAAAAACTACGAGGAAGAGAAGGTTGTCAGGGTAAAATGTACATCACGAAACGACTGACGAGAATAATTGCATGCTTCATGACTTCTTTACAAAAACACTCCTGTCATACATGTATCAAACCAACCACGCAGCAGAACACATTTATGTATACAACCAACTCATCCAACAAACTCACGCTATGCATTCCATTTACTTTAAGAAAACCTCAAACAATAATCTCTAAAAAAAAAAAAGCGAACCCTCACGCAATCACCATTTTCTACTCTAGTAAACATAGCAAGACAAGCTCCAAGATCATACAACAGTACTATAGCCCGCCCCGTACCCCCTCCTCCCTTTCCATCGTAAATACCATTTCCTCCCCTCATCAGCCCAAAACACGCAACTTGCCACTGCCACCAAATGGGCCAAGTCGGCAAGATGGAGCGCCTCGGTCTGAAACACGCTTTGCAGCGGTGGGAAATAGATAACAGCTAGTTGACCGAGCAAACTACCTGCAACGGCATAGTTGAACATTTTGTTGTCAAAGACGCCGATTTCGCCTGCGAGCACGGATTTGCTGGATGAGCGGCAGGTCAGGGCGTTGAACATGTCGAAGAGGACGAAGCAGGTGAAGGTCATGGTGGTGTCTCGCGCCGTGACCATGTTGTCGTCGGACATTTCGAGGTAGTACGTTGTTAGTGTGCCGAGCATAATAATAGAAGCAGATTGGAGGACGCGTTGGATCAAGGGCCGGGTTAGGACACGGGCTTGACGGGGGCGAGGTGGGAGCGCCATGACGGCTGGGTCGACGGGTTCGACGCCGAGGGATTGGGCGGGTGGGCCGTCCATGAGGATGTCTGAGGGGGAGAGGGTGTATGGTTAGCTTTTGTTATACTAGATACCAAGTGGACGAGAAACTTACTGATCCACAGAATCTGCATGGCGTTGAGCGGATTCTGGAAACCGAGAAAGGTACTCAGGAGTACTAGACTCAGCGCTGCCGCACTGGTGCTTAGTTGAAAGGTAAGGAAGTTTTGGATGTTGTAGAAGATGCCCTTTCCTTCTTCGATGGCGTTGAGAATCGTGGCAAAGTTGTCGTCGGTCAAAATCATGTCTGCGGCTTCTTTGGCAACGTCTGTTCCCAGCCGGCCCATCGAGATGCCAATGTCTGCCTTCTTAAGTGCCGGTGCGTCGTTGACTCCATCGCCAGTCATTGCAACTACATCGCCTCGCGACTGGAGCGCTCGAACAATCTTCATCTTGTGGTCCGGACTCGTGCGTGCAAAAATTGATGTCGTTGCCATGGCCTGCGCGAGCTCTTCCTCACTCATCTGGTCTACCTCGTCTCCACGGATGACGGAGCGTCCAAGCGCAGAATTTTCAGTAATTGGCATCCCCAGACTCTTTCCAATGGCAACCGCAGTAGTCTCTGCATCGCCGGTAATCATAATCACCTTAACCTTGCCAGCCATTAGACGCCGGATGGCTCGTTCGACACCCTTGCGCGGGGGATCGTTCATGCCTACAAGCCCCGCAAATGTGAGACCACGATAGTGCTCATCATCACCAAGAGCCGAGTATGCGGTTGGTGCTGGAGAGGCGGTGCCACTAGTATTTCTCTTCTTTGCCTTGGGCACACCACTTGCGAAGCCGAGTACTCGCAGGCCCTCTTGAGCCATGGATTCCGCAGCCTTGATCGCTTCCTGCTTGTGTGCTTGATCCAATGCTACTTCTTTGCCCTGTGCAGTGACGTATGTATCGCAGCGATCGAGAATTCTTTCCAATGCACCCTTGATATAGCTGTGTTCGGAACCAGGAGTATGGCTACCAGAAGTGCTGCCAACGACAACACCCATCCACTTTCTTTCTGAGCTGAATGGAGTTTCGAACTTGCGTTCGCCAAGCCTTTCCCGCACGTCTTCTTCGCCGAAAGCATCAATCAGGTCAAGGAGGGCGACATCGGTAGGCTGACCGACCCATCTACTTTTGGCCGAGGCACTATCATCGCCCAGAGTTGATGAAAGAACTGCTGCTGTGGAAGCTGATGCAGCGTGGTCGCTCAATAGACGGGCATTGTTGACTATGTTTCCGATCCGCAGGATGTTACGAGTGGGGGAGTCGAGATCCGTAGACTCATGCTTGAGCTTCACATCTGTTGGAGTAGCCTCGCCAAAATGCCATATTTTTGTGACAGTCATGTGGTTAGTTGTCAGCGTGCCTTCATGAGGTTAGCGAGTACAAGATTACTGTCCATATGCATAACTTACCCGTCTTATCAGTACAGACGACATTAACCGAGGCCAGTGTCTCTACACTGGGCAGCCGTCGGACAATGGCGTCGCGCTTGGACATCCTTAGCACACCCAAAGCAAGCGTAACTGTAACAATAATTGGCAGTCCTTCAGGTATAGCAGCAACGGCAAGCGAAACAGCAATCTGAAAGACCTCGAGAAACTTCCACCCCCGCCACAATCCTACCAAACCAATGAATGCAATAACACCAAATGACATGTAACTCAGCTCCTTTCCGAGTCGGTCCATAGAAAGTTGCAGAGGAGTCCTGGGGCTTTCAATTTCTCCCAAGGATGCAGAGATGGCGCCAAATTCTGTGTTGCCTCCAGTACCAATAACGATTCCTTGTCCATACCCAGATCTGACCAGAGTGCCCATGAATGCAATGTTTTTCTGATCGTTGAGCCTAATGTCTGCGCCAACGGTTCCAGAGGCTTCAGATGCGTAAAAGGGCGAAGGCGATCGTTGGGCCCCTGTTGGGGGTGAAATAGTATCAGGCGATTTAGAGACGGGTTCATTCTCTCCTGTGAGATTGGACTCGTCGATGCTAAGGTCGGCAGCGTGCGTGATGCGAATGTCAGCAGGTATGCGGTCGCCCGTGTGGAACAGAACCAGATCGCCTGGTACTAGCAATGTCGCGGAGATTGTCGTAGACTTTCTCTCAGCTGCGGAGAGCGAGGCCGTGGTATCCTTGAGGTTGTCCAGTTCGATGCCGTCAGTTGTTATGCCATTGGGTGTGCGGCCGCCCCGTGATGGCTCGGCCCCTGCGCGTATGATGTGTGCAGAATGTGGGACGAGCGAGTTGAGAGCCTCGATTGACTTTTCCGACCGGTACTCCTGCACGAAGCCTACGGTGACGACAATGGTCACTGCTACAGTTATGCTCAGCGCGTCTTCCAAATTGCCCATGATAAACGACACAGCTGCAGATCCTAGCAACAGCAGAATGAGGGTCTCTTTGAATTGCTTAAGGAACCGCAGCCACAGCGGCTCGGGCTCTTCGTGCGGGAGTTCGTTGAGGCCATGGAGGTGTATGCGCGTCGAGGCATCGGCGGCAGAAAGGCCGTGTGTGATGGAGGTGGAGAGTTTTTGCGCGGTTTCTTGTGCAGACAAGAGCGAGTACATGGCTGTTACTGACTGTGTGGTTGCATGTTAGCAATGTGTCCGGTCGCAGTGCGGTGCGGTGCGGTGTGGCAGCCAGGCGCATGACGTACTGAGGGTGCCGGACTGCCCCTATGGGGCTCTGGTGGTTGCAGCATTGGCGATGAAGGGCGAGAGGACTTGGAATATGGATTCGAGGCATCGTAGCGGGGCAGTGAGGGCGTCGACGCTTTTGACATGTTGGCATGGCCAGGAGACGACTGTTGCGCCGCGGTCCAACGTGGCCTGTCCGTCGACGATTAGCGTGTGGGGAATGGCGGAGGAGGCCGATTATTGCATTGAGGTGGCGGGTAAACAGTGCACGTAAGGACGGCTGGCAGGTAAAAAAAAGAATCAAGTTTGGCGGCGAGGAAGAGTTTGGATTGTCTTTTCGGGGCTCGCAGTTCGTCTGGTGAATTAGACGGTCGACTAGAACGTCAAAGCATCGGTACCCTTGTGCAGGGGTCAAGGGTCCTGGTCCTGGCCCTCCCCGTTTCACCCCATAAACCGTTCGACGTAACACAGCGACCACCGTGCGACGACCTTATCGGGAGCTGAAACAGAGAGAACTGATCTTGGGTTTGGAGCGCAAACCTGCAATAGATAAACATGCTCGAGCCGCTACAGGGGAAGGGAATCTGTGCACATCGGCATTGGGACTTGGCAGGCACATGTCCGACGCTACTACTACACATGCTCTCGTCGCAGCGCGGGGGCTTGCGGGTGATGTCATGCATGCGCCTCGGATATCGCTGCGATGGCTAAGAGGGGATGCTTTGGGTGAAGGATACTAGGACAATCTCTCCAACTCTACCCATCTGTCTACATACATATGTCTCCAGTACAGTACATACCACATCTTGGCCCCACTCGCTGCCACCCCACCACCATGCACTATTCTGTAATCTGTACTCCACCAGGGAGCTCGTCGAGCCATGCATCTGCCCCAGTATCTTCGACAGCCTGTTGTGCCTTTGTACATGCAATCGCATCTCTGCCATCCTGGATTGTGAATGTAGAGGTGCAGTCCTCGCTCCCACACTGGTTGCCCAGAGCATTCATCCCCCTCTGCAACGCATCCCCCTCCCAGCCAAACAAGTAGTCGCCATGCGCACCATATCCAGTCCTATCTGTATTAACACAATCCTCAGCACTTGATTGCGGGTTCCTTGACTTACGCATCTCCAAAGCTATACACTAACGGCTGTTTACCATCCTGGTAGTATTTTGGATCTGCAAACCCAGACGTGTCGAACATGATCTCGTACATGACCTGTGGGATCCGTACTGGATGACTGCTTGGGCAAAAGTCGCCCGCAAGACCATTAAAGCCTGGCCCATACGCAACATGCGATCTATGGTCCGGCGAGTCGAGAGTAACGCCATCCCAGCACGAAGGAAAGATCACTGTAGCACGGATCCCCCCTGGACATGGCGTAGACGGAAAGCTGGCAGTGTCATTACCTGAGCAAGGCGCACCGTCTCCGCCC